CATTACACTTAAGATAGTGAGTCAGGAACGCAGAACAAAATGTTGATATGGCGATGTCCGGCAAGAGATAAGTCGAAAGCCACGGAACATGGGGTGGGAGGACTTCGCAGAGATTAAATCAGAGTGGAAGGGATGGGCAACGCCATCCAAAATCCGAGCAGCAAATTGTCCGACCGTTTTAAATGTATGTGTGTGATAATGCCGGCTTAAAAGACAAAAAAACTAGGGTGGCGGATGAGACCATTCGGAGGACTCGTTCTAAAAATTCACATATTTTTTACAACGAAGCAAGAAAATTGACGGAAAAAAAGAAAAAAAGAGGGAAAATGCAGGCTTTTCTGATTCGCCACATTAAGGATTGAGGTGTGTTGTAAGAGCATGGAAGACAAATGTCACCCCTTGGGCAGATTTCGGCCTCTTGATGCTTGAAAATATGGCCGGGTCTTCTCGAATGAGCCGCCAGCTGAGAGTTAACGTCTCCAGGACGACGGGATCCGACCATATTTTCAAGTTTCAAGAGGCCGAAATCCTTGCAGGGGGTGACAACCGCGTGAGCCGCGGGCCGCCCGAGTCATGGTTTTCAGGCTCGCAGTCCAGCAACAAGCCCAATGACCTCCCGTTACCTTATGCCCAGCCCAGATTTTCCCTGGGCAGGGAAATCAGTCACGTGGGGAGTGCGCGGCCAAGCGATTATCCCGGTGACAGTGAGCCAATTTGCCGAGCAATCGTCACACCAGCATCCAGCACGGATGGCGAAATCTTGGCAGTCGATGACTCGGACGCGGACTCACAAGCCACAGTCGCAGCAATTACGACCCCAGCGGGGATATTGTGAGCTGTTATTTCCAGTACGTATATGGTCCCAGTGTGGCCACGTGTTATACATACTGCACTCCTTGTGCCACCATAGATCTTATCTGCGACCGTCTCTGATGATGTGAATCAGAAACGTCAGACCAGTCAATTTCTTGTTCCAGTAATCGCATCTTCGTCTTCAGATCATACAGATTCCTGATCTAAGCCTTCCTTCAGAAAGTGAAGATGAGTCTAATTTTTTAATACGGTGGTCAACGGCCATCGCATCAGCATCTTTAACATGTTAGCATTAATTGGGAGATATTAGGTCATCGATGGGAAGCAAAAGAGTTGAAGCGACAAGACGAAATCTCAAAGAGCTCCATGAAAAACAGTAGATTTCCGTCTGCCAGACTCGATAACCAGGTGCAGAAGGTAAGATAGTCCTTAAGCCAAGACGTGATTCAGCCTTGGGAGCCGCACTCATATGTTTCGTTAAGGAGGAGAGGTCGCTGAAATGCGCTGAGGGAAAATGAGTAGTCAAGGAAATCACATGTCGATACAAGCAAAGATGAGTGTTCCAGGAGCTAGTTGATAAGAAGTAGATGTAATCATCGGAACAAGGGCTTTTTTCGCCCCCTGTTCCAGCGATCGCTTCTACTTCTTATGAACTCACACGTTTACGCACGGGAACCATTGCCCAGTTCTCGTAGAGCAGAGCGCGGTAAAAGAGCAACAGCATCTAAGTCCCTGCTACTGACTTTATAATCAAACTCGGAAGAATGGGAGAAGTTGACGTAGAATGGCATACGGGCATCTAAGGCACCTTTTCAGGGAAGTCATAAGCGCAGAGGAACATGTAACTGGATGGACCAAGATAACTAAGGATGGGATTACATGCTAGTTTCTATTGATAGCAGAAGTGCCCGGAACTGTCGCACTCTCTCCACCTCACTTAACTGGACCCGATGCCAACGGACGATAAAAAAGATCGAAGGCCGAAAGGAACGCAAATGACTGTCGCCGCAAGATCCGTCACTTATATATGCGACCATACCCCCCCCCCATACAAGTAATTTTTTATTGGAGACCCCGGTCTGGCCCCCAGTGGGAGTCCAGCTCATCCATCGCTTCACCGGTTTTAAGGCAGAGAATGAAATGAGACTGTGATTGACAATTCCTCACGGCAGTTCACTCTCAGAACAAGCTGCGCCAACCAGCTGAAAGTCAGAGAAAGCTTTCAAGTTTGCATTTTTAAAATATTCGTCTATGACTGACGTCTGAAGACCTTAAGAGATTCGTTTTGGTCAAAACTAAAATCCTCCTTTACACGGAACCCTACTGCAGTAGATGAATTTATCTTTTGAGGTTTCAGAATAAGATCACCTGCATGGCAAGGTCACTCTAACGAGGTTATACTCTGTGTAGTTACTGCGATTTTGTAGTTTTTTCACAAGTCTACCTATCAAAACAGCAAATGTATGTCCAACTTCCAATAAAATACTAAACGTTTATGCCGTGTACCTAGTTCCAAAACGTGAGTACTTGGCACAACGATTTATGAAGTAATTTTAAAATTTTGAACAGTCCATGTATCAGTGGTGTGCTTCAAATGAAAAAAAGGTCTAAACGATAGCGTTACCAAGGCTTTTAATCCCTTACCCAGTTAGCCATGTTCAAAACCAGTCATATCGGCTTTCGTGGATACTGTTGGCCTAGTCGCCAGACCTTATTTGAGTAGGATCTCACAGTGCGCTTGAACTGTTAGAACTCCGGTCGTACATTTAGGTTGAGAGTACTGTTCAAACGGGAAGACGGTTAAAAGTGCAACAGCGACTGTCTTAGTCTATGCCTTCTTCACAGGTTACGTAGTCCGTTTGCGAAACCATTCACAACCACCATCACCAAATGTCCGAGTATAGTCGTATCTAGAGGCCAAACGAACCCGCATATTCTCTAAGCAGTGCGGATCACTTAGAGATTTTTGGAAGCACGGAGACTTCTGTACCAGAAAGGCGATGTTACAGTTTGTTTCGGTCTCACCCTTTAGAAGTCTGTCAATACTCGTTTCCTCACCAATATTTTGGCCCAACTTTGGAAAACCGATGAGTTTTCCAGGGTGTTTATTTTAAATGTCTTCTTCGTACATCATAACGAAAAACTATGTTAATGTAATTAGGCGTAAAAGATCATTCCCGAAAGGGCTACTTCTGGTTTGCCTATCGAGAGCGAAGAGGACTGCCGCCATTTCTAGGGCTTGGCAGTGACTTGTGGGTAAACTTGTTTGTACAGTAGGTTGGCTAACTCATGAAATGTCAATCAAAATTCCGAAAGGCGTTTTCGTTTTGAAAAGATTGGTTAAGTAGGGTTGTAAAACTCATCATCATACAGAACAATTCTATTATAATTCAGTTGCCTCAGGGTGCCGGCTTTCGAACGAATTTCGTTCCGGCTGCATGCGAAAACTATACACTTTAAAAATGACTGCTTGTGTGGCATGTTTTTTCCTCACTGATTTTCGATCACCTTAAAAATTAAATTATACTTTATGAAAATTTGCATAACATACTCATTCTTTTATTTATTTGGTAGAGAATTAGGTCCTATTCTTATTTTGTACTCGAAGGAAGGGTATAATAAGGTTTCAAAAAAGTTTCCAATTGTAAGATGTTTAATAGCCCTAAATGGCTGCACATAAGACATCATGTCTCGACAGTTACCACTATGGCTTGTAAAGTTAACAAAATGGCTCAAATCCACCGCTAAATTTTACGAATTCGATATAATGTTATCTAAATGCCGTAGAGAAATGCATGGTTTTCCGTGCGCGGAAAGTATACGACTTGTAGTTTAGAAACCCTGATTTCAAGTGTTACGGCAGGTCATGTTCGAATTTATTCGGGAACTTGAAGAGTTCTTAAAACCGAATTATATACTACCATCGAGTATACAATTGGTTGAAAACGTAATTTTATACCGAATAATTAAAATAATGGATGATTTTGTTCATGTTTTCCACGAAGTATAATTGAATGTTTGGGGGCTTAGAAAATCACTGAGAACAATGCACGCTACATAAGTAGTCATTTTTTACAGAGCATGATGTTTCATGCAGCCGACCAGAATCTCGGTCGAAGGCTGGCATCCTGCGCAGACTGAATTATTATAGAATTACGCTGCATGATGATTAGTTTTACAACCCCACGAAAACGCATTTCGGAATTTCCGTTGACATTTCATGAGTTAGCCCACCTACTGTAGTAACGTAAATAAATTTTATGCAGCCAATGCCCTACTCCAACGCCAGCGCCCTCTCAAGTCAAGTGGCGACTCGATGACGGGAAATGCTGAGTAGCTAATTGAAACTGACAACCGCCAAGTGGCCGCTCAGACGACTCAAGTCCACAACAACTGCGTCCTAAGTCAATTTAGAAGGAACAACACTGCCGAAAGATGGATCTCAGACCTTTGATTCGAGTGCGTCTTCATCAGTTAGTCTACGTCTGCGAAGAATGCATAATAGTTTTCGGCTAGACTAAAATACAGTCACAAAGGAAAGGCCATTTCTGACACTGGAGCCACCTGGCGAGTTCTGTTTAGCAGATCAGACGACGAAGATGCGACCACTGGCACAAGAAATGTACTGACCATATATTGGCGAATCTAACCGTATAAAAACGCTGACACGCGAGATTAATGCGACACTGTTGGCGATGGGGAACTCATGTACAACTGCGCCAATCGACCGACGCATGTTGAGTGCGCAAGAAACGGCCCTGGACCAATTCTACGGTCTCCCAAAAGTACGCAAGCAGGGCATTCATCTCCGACATATGGTGTCACTAAAGGACACACTAACCTACGGACTGGAAAAGTGGCTTTTTCGACGTCTCAAGTTTTTAACCTCCGATTCGAACACCAAGGTCAGCTCGTCAACACAATTCTTGCCGAAACTTAAAGGAGTATGCCTCCTTCCAATCGGTGTCATGGTTTCCTTTGGGGTCACATCCCTTTTTACTTCTATCCCACAGGACCTGGCAGTCGAGACCATCAAAACACTCCTACGAGGGAAATACGACGAAAAAGGAGAATCGCCTCGGACACGCCCAAATTATCCAGTTCCTGAAGCTCTGTCTCAAGACGTACTTTACGTTCGACAGAACAATCTACGAGCAGTTGAAAGGAACGCCAATGGGGTCGCCGATTTCGGGACTCATAGCCGAGGCGGTCCTAAAACGGTTGGAGTAGCTGGCTTTCCGACACCACAGACCAGAATTCTGGGCTCGGTATGCGGATGATACCTTCGTCGACATCCAAAGGGGTCGGGTGCTGACATCCAAAAACCATCCCAACGCCATCTTCCCGGACATTCAATTTACGATGGAGGAAGAAGAAAGCAACCAGCTGGCCTTCCTGGATGTCCTCGTCTGCCGCAAAGATTGTGGCGGGCTAACAACCAGAGTGTTCAGGAAAGCGACAAATATGATGCAAGTACTGAACTTCAGTAGCAACCACCCAATCAGTCACAAACGCAGTTGTGTAAGGACGCTATACTGGCGCGTTGAGACGCACTGCAGTGAAACAGAAGACAAGGTTGCTGAATTACAATATCTTCGACGAGTAATGCGAGGCAATGTTTACCCGCGAAACTTTGTCAACCAGTGCATACGTAAACGACACCAAAGACCAAATTCAACCGGTCCCAAATTTGGGCGGACTGTTCCGTACGTGAAGAATGTCTAGGAAGTTGTCAGTCGTCCTCTCGCTACATTTGGGTCTGGGGTGGCACACAGGTCGGAAGCAACCAACAGCGCCAAGTCATGAGATAGAAAGACCCACTGACACGGCAGGAAACGCCAGGGGTCGTTTACCGGATCTAATGCAGTTGTGGACAAAGCAAATACGTCGGAGAAACTGCGAGATTACTCCGGACGCGAATTGACGAGCAGCCAACAGCAGTGAGGAGGGAAGACTCTAGCTATCAGGTGGCGGCTCATTCGACGGGACCCGGCTATATTTTTAAATTTCAAGAGGCCGAAATCCTCGCAAGGGGTGACAACCGCGTGAGCCGCGAGCTGCTCGAGTCATGATTCTCGGGCCCGCAATCCATCAGCAAGAGCAATGACCTCCAGTTACCATATTCCGTGCTGCGATTTTACCTGACTAGAGGAATCAGTCACGTGGAGAGGGCGCGGTCGAGCAATTATCACAGTAACAGTGAGCCAATTTGCCGAGCAATCGTCACACCAGCAGCCAACACGGATGACGAAATCATGGCAATTAATGACTCGGACGCGGACTGACAAGACGCCACCGCATCAATTATGACCCCAGCGATGATTGTGAGAGCTGTTATTTAGAGTACGCAGATGGTCCCAGGGTAGCCACGTGCTATAAATACTGCATTCCTTGCGCCACCATTACCCTTATCTGCGACTGTCTCTGATGGTGGATTCGAGTGAGAATCCGAAATATCAGACCAATATATTTTTTGTTCCAGTGATCGCATTGTCGTTTTCTGGACCGTAGTCTTCGTCGGTCGTTCATATTAAACCATGGAATGTGCGACACCTAAGTAAAGCCTTTGGACTTATAACCAACAGTTTGTGAGATCGAGCCCAATGTTTCCCACTTTCCGGGTTTAGGTAGGACTAGCAAACGACGGCTAATAAGCCAAAAATGGCCAGTCCAATCTCCCATGTCTTTGTCAGCAATGTTATTCAGCCTATATTACGCAATGCTGTGAGACTGCTGGTAAGGCTTGAGAGAGAGCCCGTAAGGCACAACAGGAAATATGAGTTCTGTAAAAACGATTGATGAGCGCCCACTCTTCCTACCCCACATGAAATAAATTCCAGACTGCACTGCATCCCATGAACGTCCCAAAGACACTGCCGAATGCCGAAAATACGAAAGCTTAAATTTGTAGCACCACTGATGAAGACGTTTAACCTTATAGCCTTGTTGGTAAATTTTAAACACAGGATATGTTTAAATGTCCTCAAGCATATTTTCAAAAGATGGGCCGACATTAATGACTGAGTTGTTGTCGTGTTAGTTCCTCCTAACAAACTATATTTTGACTCATCGTCTACGTACGTATGAAATCATAATCTTCAGGAGCTGATGAGGCTAGGGAAGATTTAAATGAAGTTTTTGAAGGTAAAGGCCTAGTTAAATGAATTGCTGCGAACTGCTATGTATGAGCAATTTATCATTAGGCTGGGCAAAATTATACATAATGTGATGTCAACCTTGAGAAAAATATAAAGTATCTTTGGGCTTGTCAAATTCTTCTCAAAAATTGTAAGAAAATCTTACTGGGTGTTCGGCTACACTCTTGACCTGAGAAGGCATTAACGGCTGAAGTTCTTCATTGTGATGTTTTGTGTAAATATAAGATATTTTTGAAAAAAATGCCCTAATAAGAAGGCTCCTAATTGAGCATGCGGGTCTACAGCGATTGATCAATAAAGGTATTAACAAGCTCATAAGATGAGTCCTGCATGTGACATTTTTGCTACATCTTTCGACTGCTTACGCGACCGCATGACGGACCTCTTTTATGCCTCGTAAAACTGCTTAGGGCGTCAGTGAAAAAGCCTAGCACTTTAACAGAATGCATCTGAGATGCCGCGAAAATCTAACACTCTTTCTAGATAAATTAGACTGAAAACCGCGATCTTGTATTACCATGGCATCCGAATTTCTCTTGACAGCCATTTTGAATTTGCTTACAGCTGTTGTAGACAAAACATGCTATCGCGAAGGGCAACAGCTCAGCGTCGTGGATTTTCGGTTGCAGATGTTTTTTCCTTCCGTGCTCAGTCACCAAGGACTCAGACTCAAGGACTCGTCAATGAGTTTTAGTCCTCTGACAAATGGCAGAACATTCACTGAGCTACCAGAACTTGCCATCACGGTTCTCATAGAGGCTACTCATCGAAAGGACTGTCTGAGTGCGCGGTTCATCCCGATGTCAGCTTACGAACGTCATGCAGCACCTGCGCCCACATTTACGCGGGTCAAAATGGGAGGTAATCGTTTCCCAAAGGCGCGCTTTAAATTATCCCCTGAGGATGCAAGGATGAGGGCGCCTGCTTGTAGCGAGATCAGTCGCGCGAGACGACAAAGCGAGCAGGCGCGTCAATCAGCCACAGTCCAAAACGCGTTGTGGCATCACCTATGCATAATGCGACTTGGTTTCCGACCAAAACACGCGTAATCGGCAGTAGGTGGAAAATCGCGGATGCGGACTACGTTTATTGTTTTCTATGGTCCTTAAAGGATGCATGTATAACGGACGCGAAAAAACGCAATATTGCCGTTCTTTAGGCAGTCGACGTCCTTACCATAAGCAAAGAACAGGCGTTAGTTAAAGACCAGACATATGCCCCGTCAGTACTTCTGATCCTGCTGAGTGAGGCAACGATAAGGGTTTTGGTCTCTCATTGACTGCCTCCAGCATGCCATGTGGTCTCCAATTCACTTCTCGTTTAAATGTGATGCTTTTATGCATTCACCTGAGATCAGGCAGCATACTATGGGAACTTACATAGACGGAAGACATGTTCCCCAGGATGGCTGCCAAGAGCCAGGTTTTTTCCTCGCGTGCTACCAACGCGTGGCCCCACCACATCGCCTATAATCGATATCGATCGTGTGTGAGGAGATAGACGGGCGGCTGAACTTCATTCGGCTTGCATAATCCCATTTCACTGACTGAGCAGAGACCTGTGCGTGACGGCCGCAGTGAACTTACGAAAATCGAACAAAGGCGGTTTAACAGAGAGCTCAACCAATGGAAAGCAATGTCGTTGTTGGACCCATCCAATCTTCGCGCTATCCTAATCACGCTCCTTTGGGGCGGCAAGTAATGGCACAAGTAGTCCTCCAACTCATCATACATCCATCAAACTGCCGAGGTGGCCTATAGCTGCGGTAGTTGACCAATCATTTAATTTTTTTAATTTTCAGTATTAAATGTTTTAAAAGTGTAAAGCGGACCGAGTTCTACAAGCGTCAACAGTTTCTAACTATGAGACTTTTTAAGACCGCGATATGCCCATTCACATAGCATCGTACCTGGCCGTTTACCACTCCTCCTCATAAAATGTACAACATGCTCCGCATCCATTTCGAAATTTTATGGACTCTGTATGATCTCTCTTTAATGGTATAGAAAAATATGTGATTTTCTTTACGCGGAACGCGTGCACTTTGTAGAGTGAAATCCCTAAGCGCTAATCCAAATTATTCGACAATTGGAAAACTTTTTTAAAACCTAATTATACCCCTTCCTTGAACAAAAAATATAAAGAAGACGTGATTCTCTATTGACTGACTAAAAGAAAGTGTATTTTTGTTGATGTTTTCTGTAAGATATATTTGAATTTGCAAGACCATCGAAAATCAATGGGAAAAATGCATGCTACTTAAGTAGTCATTTTTTACCGAGCACGCTTTCTACAAGAGATTAAAAAGAAGTGCCTTTAAAAGCCGACATTCTGCCGAGTCCGAAATGTTATAAGAGTATGCCTTAAGATAACCACTAATATAGCCGCGACTAAGTAATCCTTCCTAATCGAAAACGCATTTCAGAATTTCAGCCAACATTTCATGAGATCGGTCACTTACTGTACGCATTCTTGTTAAATTATCATCCTGGGACTTTCAGATTTGTCAGCTTCCAACTGTCGACAATTTTGCTAAGATAGTGATAGCAGACTACTTATGTGCACAAGGTCTAAACCTATACCAATTATTCACTAACTACATTGTAGATTGCCTAGAGAATAAAAAAGCATGCGACATATTAAGTCCTTTCTCTGCATGTTTACATTCGGTTTTCTCAAACTTCCCACAGACTATCAAATGTAGAGAAAAGTTATCAATAATACTTTTAGCGTATTTAAACTTTCCCAGATAACGTTTGTCAATCTTAGTAGAGAGGTAGATACGTATTCCTGTTTGACGTGAAAAACTGTTTTTGCCGAATTTGTCGCTTTCAGCCCTTACGTTTTAAAGCGGCCATCTATTCGGTAAAGGACATTCAGAATTCTTTTAAAATGTCAGAATAAATTTTAGTAAGATGTGGTTTGGTAACCCCATTCGATTTACATAATACTCTCGGAGTTGGGGTTAAGGGTTACGGTTAGAAGTTGTGGTCAGGGTTTAGGGTTAGGAGTTAGTGTGAGGGTCAGGGTTAGGGGTCAGGATTAGGGGGTTGGGTTTGAGTTAGGGGTTAC